AGCGTGACCACGGCTCAGGAGGCCCTCGCCAGTAGCAGAACCAGCAGTCTTGAAGAAGAAGGCAAAGATAAGCCGAGGCCCAACTCCAGAGGAACCAGAGAAAATTTAGAAGAAAAAGAAGAGAACTTAAAATTACCTCTCTAATAACTTCAGAGAGTTTTGAGAGTACAGTATGTCCATAAAGTAATAAAGCACAGAAAATAAGAATGCTTTCAGATTTTAAAAATATGACTGCCAAATGAGAAACTAAACAGGACTACACATAAAGTAAAGCAATCCTCCAGAGTGTAGTAGCATAAAAAGGACTAAAAACAGACAAAAAGAAAAAATACACAAGGGAAAAGAAACAAAACATTAAGGCCCAATCAACGAGCATCTATAAGCACCCACCCAAACTGATCGGAAGGGAGAAGATCAGTTACTTTATCTTAGAGTCAAGATGTACATGGCTTTGGATTTAAAAGACCCTCTGAGAATCCAGCCTGATAAAGGAGAAAAGACCCAAACCTAGATATACCCTTGTAAAAACATTTTCAGAATGAAATGATCAAACCTTCAAGAGACAAAAAGTCGTCACCTATGAAGGAAAAGGAAAAAAGAGAAAGAAGAGAGGGGAGGGGAGGGGAGGGGAGGGGAGGGGAGGGGAGGGGAGGGGAGGGGAGGGAGAGCCCTGGCGATTTGGCTCAGCAGTTAGAGCGTCAGCCTGCAGACCAGAGAGTCCCGAGTTCGGTTCTCACTAACAGCATGTACCTCAGTTGCACTTTGTTCCTGCCCTGGTTGGGGTCGTGTGGGTGGCGGCCACTCGATGTGTCTCTCTCTCTCATCGATGTTTCTCTCTCTCTCCCACTCTATCGGAAGATAAATACAAAAATGTCCTCGGGTGAGGATAAAAACAAACAAAAAGAACCAGTCCCTTCGGACTGAGCCCCAGGGACGCGAGTACCCGCAGGGGCAGCACCTCCCGTCTCTGCGGGAACCGGTGTCGGGAACAGGTGTCGGCACACGTTCTCCAGCCTGCCAGGCCATCCGCCAGCAGGAAGGCAGAAGAAAGATGTTCAGACCTGCAAGGACTCAGAAAGCCCTTTCTTAGCAAGTAACATAAGGATAGTGTCCAGAAAAGTAAAGGAAACCAAGAAAGGAGATGACAAAGGGTCGGGACGGGGCAGACCCGGGGAGCAGTGCGTCCTCCCAAAGGGCAGCGGCGCCGCCCACCCAGGGAGCAGCGCCCAGGGGAGCGGAGCGCAGGCTCCGGGAGGGGGAGCCTGGGGAAGAAAGCCCCCCCGGGAAGGAAGCATGCTTGAAAACAGGAACACGTGACGCTAGGGGAAAATGGCAAAGGCAACACGAAACTTCAAGGAAGACAACAAAAAGCTGCACCAGAAAGTCATGCACAGCCTGTGGAGCAAACTGTCATCTGCACGTGATTAGCATGGAGCTCGATGAGCTGCGAGAGGACAGGCTCCATCTGACCCTGACGCAGGCGTGTGCCCCTCACACATATGACCCTCTAGGATCATGTTAGACCAGGCGGGAAGATGGAATGCCAGCACAGACAATCTAACCCGGCCCTGAACGAAACTACATAGATATAAAAATCTAAACACTTTTAATTGGAGTTAATTTCTTTTTTTTTTTTATCCTCACCCGAGGACATTCTTCCATTTTTTGTTCAGATAGAGTGGGAAGGAGAGAAAGAGAGAGAGAGAAACATCGATGTGAAAGGGACACATCGAGTGGCTGCCACCCACACGATCCAACCAGGGCCAGGGACAAACCACAACTGAGGTACATGCCCTTACGGGAACCGAACCCAGGTCTCTCTGGACCGCAGGCTGACATTCTAACCGCTGAGCCAAACCAGCCAGGGCTGGAGTTAACTTCTTAAAGTCAACTGGTAAAAAGGCACAGAAAGCATGGTTGTGGATTCAAGAAAGAATGGGAATCAAACCCAGAACCCGGGAATCAGACCAGGACCATGAGACCGACGCTCAGTCCACCGAGCCACACCAGCCGGGCTAATGAACTTAGGTAAAAGTACAGGCACAGCCCTGGTCAATTTGGCTCAGCAAATGAGAGCATTGGCCTGTGGACCAAAGGGCCGTGGGTTCAGTTCTGGTCAAGGGCATGTACCTGGGCTGCAGGTTTGATCCCCAGCCCGGTCAGTGTCATGCAGGAGGCAACCAATTGATGTGTCTGTCTCACATTGATATCTCTCCCTCTTTCTCTCCCTCCCTCCCTCCTTTCCACTCCATCTACAAAGTTAATGGAAAAATATCCTCAGTGAGGATGAACCAAAATAAATAAATAAATGAAATAAAAAATTAAAATAAAAAAGTACAGACATAGTTGATGACAGAAGAGACATGAAAAGAGAGAGGACGTGGGGAAAGGGAAGAGGGGCCAACTCCATATCTTATAGAACAGAGATAAAAAGATACGCTCCATATTTGATAGAAGACCATACAGACATATAAGTATATTTTTATAGTTACAATGGTCATTCAATTGAATTATTTTTAAAATAACGAATCATAACCGTTGGGAAGAGAGTGGGGTCATGTGGAGTGAGCTCAGCCTCCTCTTCACTCGGGTGAGTAAATCAGGAGATTAGCCCTGAGTGATCATCTAGTTCAAGGGGAAAGTAACCAGCAGCAAACCCAAAGCACAACGTGGTAAAGAGCCTGTCTCTGAGGGGTGACGGCAATGGTGGGTATAAGACACTAGATAAAACCAAAAACTAAAATTTTAATTAAAAACAAAGAAAGGAATAAATATTATGAATATACATATGGAAATGCAACTTTAATTGGAAACCTGTCAGGAATTGAAATACATTTCCTGTGTTTCCGTTTCCATGTGCGCACACACACACACACACACCCCTCTTCGCTTCCTCCTAATATCCACTTACTCTTAGGTTCTGCTTCCTCACGGCTCAGTTTGCAAGGCCCCCGGTATCAGTCAGGGTGCGGAGAGGAAAGAGAACAGGCCTGATTAATAAGAGCTTCTCGTGAAAGGTGAGGCCGGTGAGGGGAGCAGTGAGGGCTGGGGAAGCCCCATGGCGCCTGGGCCCGGCTGAGGCAGGGAGCCCGGGAACTGGAGAGAGGGCTGCACTTGCAGGGACAGCTGCCCCAGGAACTGAGACCTCTGAGAAGAGGGAACCACTGCCAGCCACCACCAGACGGAGGGAGCCGGGCAAGGGGCCCGGTCTCCGAGGCAGGGGCAGGTGGGGGGCGTGGCCAGGGGATTTGGAGGGGCAAAGGAAGAGCATCGGCACAGCCTCACGGCCTTGACTGAACTTGGAGTTTTTCTGCAAAGCCCTTTGTCACATCCGTCGGGGTAGCTGCTTCAGTTACTCGTGTTTCCTAGTTCGCCTTTCTCCTGAGTGAACGGAGCCCTTCAGCTGTGCCGGCACTGAGGCCGTGGATTACTGCCTTGGGTCGGCTCCCGGTCCCGTGCTGTTCTGGAGGGTGGGGGTGAAGGGTAGGAAAAGTGCTGCAAACAGCCCAGCTCTGGTAAAGCCACTTCACCTCTTGGCGGGTCTAAAACAGATGCAGACAAAACAAAAAAAAGCCCTGGCTGGTTTGACTCAGCGGTTGGAGTGTTGGCCTGAGGACCACACTAGGGGCACATACCAAAAAATAAAATAAAATAAATAAATAAATAAATAAATAAATAAATAAATAAATAAAAATAAAACAAATGCAGGGTGGGCATGTGTATCACATAAATTAAGCGATTGTCATTATAACATTGGAATTGATTTGCTTCAGGGCTCAAATGTTAAGGTTTATTGAGGACTGTCCATGGTAAGATTACGGGTATCCTTTCATCTGATACTTGCAGCTCCTCCGTAGGGGGCCTGGGTATTATTCACACATCACACATGAGGAGGTCACACCTGCCAGCGGAGGCTGGGCAGCCTGCCGGAGGGTGCCCGGTGATGGGTAGTGGTGGGGGCTGGATTCCACCCAACCCAGGCAACCTGACTCTGGATCTAAGCTACTGAACGTTGAACACCATTCTTCCCACATCTTTGAGACACAAAATTAAAATTAGCATCATCTTTTAAAAGAGTTTATCTTTGGGGAGAGCTTCCTTCTTTCCGGCAGCATTTCAAAATTAATACTGTGGCTGCCTAGTTACCCAAGATGTTGAAGTAAACTGGATAAAGGGTACACAGGCTCCAGCGCGACCGTGTCCTACCACTGCACGCGAGTCTACACTTATCTCACAATAAAGCTAAATAAATACTGTAGCAGCAGTATCAACCGCCATGGGCTCGTCCACTCAGCGAATAGCTCCTGCGTGCCAGGCGCGGTTCCAGGTGCCGGGAGACTGCAGAGAACACAAAGCCCCTGACCTGGAAAGGAAGTTGGCTTGTCCAAAACTTTATTCCGTCAGATTGCTTACAATTTAAGTTATCAAATGCATGCTTATTATGTAAATGTTATACAAAGTATGGAAGGGGGGGGATCTGTAATACTTTCAACAATACAGATAAATTAAAACACACAAATGAAAAACACACAGTATTCACTTCCCAATCCCCTGCAAAGGTCTGATTAGGTTTCTCTGGGTTACTGGACAAGACGCATAGTGTTTGTGAATAGCAAACCTTGTCCCAGATGGTAGCTAAATGAGTCACTTTTGCTCTCCGCTGCAGTTCAGGACACCTGCAAAATGTTAATGCTGCCTATTCCGCACGTGCTTGGAAAGTCTAAGCTCCCTCTTTCCCCTGCTCTCCTTTGCCCCAGGCTGCAGACGGCGTCCAGCTAGGAAGACGCGGACAGATCCGTTGTCTGGGAGATGATGTGGCTGTGACTGATGAATCACAAACCCTGGCGAATGCTCCTGAGAAAGACGGCTCTGTCCACCGCTCCCGCCCTAGAGAGCCAAGGCATCCGGGAAGATGCAGCACGGCGGGGCACGGCGGCCCCCAAAGCGCTGAGGGGAGCCCTTCCAGGCGTTTCTGTCTGGACTCCACGCTTTTCTCCATGATGTCCTGTAACCGCACGTCCAGCGAGACTTTGGAATACCTGCTGCTGAATGGGAGCAGCGCGCGGGACTCGGGGGCCGCGCCCGCAGCCGCGCCCCTCCGCGTGTGCTTGGCGGTGATCATGCTGCTGATGATCGCGGTGGGATTTCTCGGCAACTCCGTCGTCTGCATCATCGTGTATCAGAGGCCGGCCATGCGCTCCGCCATCAACCTGCTGCTGGCCACGCTGGCCTTCTCCGACATCATGCTGTCCCTGTGCTGCATGCCCTTCACCGCCGTCACCCTCATCACCGTCCACTGGCACTTTGGGGACTACTTTTGCCGGCTCTCAGCCACGCTGTACTGGTTCTTTGTCCTGGAGGGTGTGGCCATCCTGCTCATCATCAGCGTGGACCGCTTTCTCATCATCGTCCAGCGCCAGGACAAGCTGAACCCCCGGAGGGCCAAGGTGATCATCGCCGCGTCCTGGGCGCTGTCCTTCTGCGTCTCGGCCCCCTCGCTGGCGGGCTGGACCATCGTGGAGGTGCCGGCGCGGGCCCCGCAGTGCGTGCTGGGCTACACCGAGTTCCCGGCCGGCCGCGCCTACGTGGTGACGCTGGTGGTGGCCGTGTTCTTCGTGCCCTTCGGCGTCATGCTGTGCTCCTACCTGTGCATCTTGCACACGGTGCGGAAGAACACCGTCCGCGTCCACAACCAGTCTGACAGCCTGGACCTCAGACAGCTCACCAGGGCCGGCCTGAGGCGGCTGCAGCGGCAGCAGCAGGTCAGCTTGGACTTAAGTTTCAAAACCAAGGCCTTCACCACCATCCTCATCCTCTTCGTGGGCTTCTCGCTGTGCTGGCTGCCACACTCGGTCTACAGCCTCCTGTCCGTGTTCAGCAGGAGGTTCTACTGCAGCCCCTCCTTCTATACCACCAGCTCCTGCATCCTGTGGCTCAGCTACACCAAGTCTGTCTTCAACCCCATCGTCTACTGCTGGAGGATCAAAAAGTTCCGCGAGGCCTGCATAGAGCTGCTGCCCCAGACCTTCCAAATCCTCCCCAGAGTGCCCGAGCGCATCCGCCGCAGAATCCAGCCAAGCGCCGTCTACACGTGCAACGAAAACCAGTCCGCTGTCTAGGGGAGGCGGGCGGAGACAGGAGACACACAGGGACTGGGGCCAGGACCTGTCTGTCCTGCTCTGCTTCCTGGCGCTTGAGTGTAGTCAGCATTTGGGGGCAGCCAACTAAGCACAAAGGTACTCATTTGTGACCAGATGAGCTGCAGCTCCCAAGCCTGCAAGATGAATGATCTGTTTCTTGCTGCAGAGAACAGGGTGTGGGTCTGACGGAGGCAGGAAAGTGGTTAAGGCGCTGGGAAGCGGGAGGGGCGTGCAGAGGGTGGCAGAAAGTCAGGAAGAGGAGGGGAGCAGGGAGTGAGGGGGCTGAGTGTGGGGCAGGAGGAAGGCCCTGTCTGAGGAGCTCCCTCCACAGTGGCTTCAGAGAACCCCCTGGCACCATGTTCTGAGATGAGCTCCCCGGGAGGCGTCATCTCTCTGTCCGCATTCACTTCACTAGAGGCCGGCATTCTTCCGGCTCTGACCTCTGTGGTGTGTGGGAGATGTGCAGGGTTCTTTACATTGATCAGGTGTGCAGTCTGACCAGGCCGAATCATCCTTCCTCTAACCCACAATCAGCTGGGGAGCAGAGCGAGCCCCCATGCTTCTCAGTTCCTGATATGACACGTGGGAGGCCTCAGTGGCTGGAAGCCCAGGGACAGTCCAGGGGCAACTCGGCTGAGATGAGAAGCCCACCGAGTGCTGGGTATGTGCCCCCCTCTCTCCTTCCTGCGCGGTCCACCCTGTCCCTACACCTGGATGCCCCTCGTCCTCCCTGTCTGTCGTGACAGTCCCTCTGCCCTTCTCTTCCCCTCACTGTTCCCCACGCCTCCCTTCGTGTTCATTCCATCTCTCCCCAGTGCACAGAAAACAGTCCTCCCGTCATTCATCCTCTCAGCAAGTATTTGAAGCAACTTGCTTTCCACCTCAGGAGTGGTCCGTGGGCTGTTTCCATGTTTCCTCTGGACACAGGCTGTAGGCCCCGTAAGCTGCCGCATGGAACTGCCGGCAGGGGGCACCCTAGACACCGCACAAGCCGGCCCTTCCCCACTGATCTCTGGGCTCCTCCTACCTCATTCTGATGCTGTCCTTTGGGCCCCCTGCCCAGGGTCTTGGCCCTCCGAGCCCAGGCAGGACTGGGATCCTGGGAGTGAAGCTGCGTGGAGGGAACTTTCTGCTGGCGCTGTCGCCTCGGCCTCCGTGAAAGGGTCACCCATTACCTCCAGGGGCTTCTGACCTGGGGTCGATTTTCCTGAGCCCCAAGCACACTAAGTCCATGAAGCTCTTTCTACAGTTTCAGAGCTGAAGGGAGTGGGAAATTTGAGGAGAACGTCAGAAAATCTGGTTCTAAGTCTAACTCTTACAGGAACTAGTTGTGACCTTGTTCATTCCACCTGATTTCTCTGGGCCTCAGTTTCCCCCTTTACCAAGTGAGGAAGCAGGTCTAGATGATCTCTAGTGTCCCTTTCATCTGCCAAACACTCTGATTCTAAAACGCACATGTTGTCCAGTAGTAGTCACCAGGTCCTCTGAACTCATTACCTGTCCACACAATGAGCCTTTATTAAGTGCCTACTAGCTGCAAGGCACTGTGGGAGAAACAGCGAGGAACAGGGCGCGGGCTGTGCCCAGAAGTTGTCTAATTTATCTCAAGATAGTTGTAACTCTGATTTGGCCTAAAAACACAGACGCTCCCTTTTGTTTCTCTTCTTGTTTCTTCTCCAAGGTTGTTGAAGAGGCCAAGCTCCCCGTTCTCACACTCGCCCCCCTGTACTGTACAGAGGCAGGGAAAACCGGGGGTTACAGAGAACACACTTCACGTGATCTAAGCCCAGAGGAGGATGTGTGAGAAAATAACTGATACCTTTTCTCCCCCACTTCACCCTCCTTTTACGCCCAGATGCAGAGAGAAAGATGGCCAGTCGGTGTGTGATTGATGGAGATGGGCCTGTCAATTCCGAGTGCCAAGTGCCCCAGCAAGGTCAGGGTTTGCCTTCAGCTCCCACGAGGCAGAGTCCTGCAGCCTTAGTGGTGTCCCAGAGCCCAGCCAGGCCTCTGAGGGGACCAGGCCAGTGTGCACCTCCCGTCTGGTGGGCATTTAAGGAAATAGTCCTCCAGGGCCTTGAGTAAAAGAGAAATCACAAAACTGAACGAAGGTACCAAAATTTACATCAATCGGTATTAGACCATGTATGTTGAAAAGTAATATATGTTTCAAAGTAATAATTTTGTATATATTTTAAATAAAGTATTATTGCTCTTTCTGTGTATAAGACTGTGCCTGTGCCAAAGTTAGCACCGAGACTGTGAGTGGTGGGCCCAACGCCAGGAAGTCCGACGTCTCCTAGGACAGCAGTCAGTTACCAGTGGGAATGACTAAGGAGGGTGCTCTCGATGGCACGGGGTGCGGGTCTGGGCAGTGGGCCGTGCCGGGCGCCCTCGCTGTTTTAGACCAGGGCCTGCTAAGGCATCGCGGTGTGTCTTCACCTCTGGCTCTCGGGGGGTCGCCTTCGAACCCTCTCTGGTTTTGCTGAACCACCAACAAACTGCTTCCCGAAGATGCTGCGAGGACGACGAGTTGTCTCCTCCTGGGAGGCACGGCCACTGTGCCTTTGTTTTTTGTTTTTATCTCTGTTTAGCTCGGGAGTCACCCAAACCCAGGCACCTGAATTGTTTCGTGGGGCCCTGGGAGGCCAGCCCCTGGGTTCCTAGGAGAGCCGAGCCTCAGAAAACGAGATGTCTGTCCTAATTCTGACGCCCCCCGAAAACCCGCTACCTTTTCACCTCAAATCTCAGCTGCTGCTGTTGGGGTGAAATGGAAGTAAAGGTCTCTAGGACGTTCTGACAACCCAGCCGCTCTCTGAGCCCGGGGCGTGCCTCCCTCGTGTTTACAGTATGTACTTCTGTTCGGACTAAACACCTGCCGCTTCAGAATTCACAGTGTGGCTCTGCCCCCTTGCTCATGCAGTCGGCAGCCCCGAACTCAGAGCCCCTGGGGTCTCAGAGTCCAGCCCCAGGTTTTGGCTCTTATGGAAATGCCCCGGGGGTGGGCTGAAGGGCACCGTGCTCTCTGCGTGATTGCGGGCAAGCGGTTTTGTGCCCCAGCCTTCTCGTCCCTCACTGGTGCAGAGACTCCCGCCCGGAGGCTGGGGAGGACTCCAGGGAATGAAGGGCCTCGCCCTGCCTCGGCCACGGGCGGGGCTGCACCGACGGCAACCATGACCCCAGTTGTACTGTCTACTTGCTCTACGGCCACCCTCTGTCCTTTGGGGTCCAGGGCAGCAATTTGTTTCAGGAACTGACTGTTCCATCCTCTTCCTCGTCCTCATGTGGTCCAGAGATTTCGGGGTTCAGTTGATAAAAACACTACATCCCCTGAAGCCAGGAGCATGGGTTTGACTGTAAAGAGCAAAGTCCTCGATGGCTGGCCTGCGGTCCTTGGTCGCATGCGCGCTGTCCCTGGGTGTGAGCTGGCCTCACGCGGCTGCTAGGAGAACCGGGTGGGTGGGAGCAGCCCTGAGTGCTGGGGGGGGGGGAGGGGCTCTGAGGTCTGCAGAGCTGAGTAGCATCACTGAGCATGGGGGGAGGCAGGAGGGAGAAAGAGTGTGGACCAGGCTGTAAGTGGCTTAAAAAAATAACCTTGTTTCCCTCAAGTCCAGGGCCTGTGGGGGGTCTCTGCTCAGGAGGTGGTCCAGGGCTCCTTCCTCCACTAGGTCCCACCGTCCCCTGAAGCATCGTCCTCGCGGTCTGTGTCCTGGCTCCCGAGGAGAGGTAAGGGTGGAGGAGCAGAGGATAAGTCACCCACAGTCCCCTGGACTCCCCCAGCAGGAGCTGAGTCACATGGCCACACAGCCGCGAGGGAGGGAGGCCGGGAGGTGAGCCTCTGGTCAGCCGGCCGTGGCTTTCTCTGCACGGCAGGGGGGGAGGAGGACCTGCGCGCCCAGCACTGTCGGCCAAGAGTAGCAGGACTTGAAAAACAGGAGGTCCCAGCACACGCCACCAATCCTTAAGTCTGAAGTAGAAATATCATCGGACCCTTTCTCACTGCAAAATAAACACATCGCCGCCGCTCCGACCAGGAGGCTGCCTCCGTCTCACCTCCTGCCCCAACACGCAGGGACCTGCTTCCAGAACACAGGCTGCAAGTGGGTGCCTGTCTGTGCCAAGAAGGCGGCCGCCACACCAGCCCTCTGCACAGAGGTGAGGCCGGGAGCTAAGCCACTTGGAAATGTGCAGCTACATAGGGATGAATTTGCCAAACGAAAAGAAAAAAAAAGCTATTTAAAATAGAATCAACAGTGATCGAGACAAACTTTGCCCAAAAATTTGATTGTTAAAGGAAAGAGTATAATTTCCAAGCTTTACCTATTGAAAGGTGGAGACTGGCTGCCAGTGACAAGGGAGCCCCCACAGGGTGATGTGCAAGGAAAGGGGGGGCGTCCCATCCCAGCTGTGGTTAGCACCTGGATTCTGTAAGAACAGGAGGATGTTTGAACACAAAGCATGGTGTGTGTGTGTGTGTGTGTGAGAGAGAGAGATTTGGGGGTGGTGTCTAGGTTACTTAGCAGACAGTTCCAGTTTACCTCCTGCTCTCTGGCCCTTCGTCCTGGTGGAGCAGGGCACAAGGTGTTCTAGGAACAGGAGAGGGTCCAGAGATGGCCTGCCTCAGAGGGAAACAGTACAGGCTGCTGCACAGATAGATTTGTCCTAATTAGTCTGATAGGAACACAAAGAACTTATCTGTATGAGAAACACTTAGATGTGACAAGAACATGACCTTTACCTCTGCGACCCAGAATCCAAGGGCCCTGATGTGGAAGCTCAGCTTTCCAAGGTGCTCGGGTTTAAGTTCCTAAAGTTCCCGGAGGCCGGGTAATAATACAGAGCCCCCGGGTCCGCGGGCCACGTCCTCTGTGCGCTCCTGCTGCCTCGGCATCTGCCGGCCCTGGGCCACCCAGGCCAGCCAAGGAAAAAAGTAGCCACGCTCATTTTGGGAGGCTTTTTGTTGTTGTTAATCCTCACCG